ATAATCTCATCTCAAAATCCTTAACACCTCTGCAAAATCCCTTTTGCCGTTAAAGGTAATTACCCTTCACAGGGTGGGCGTGGGGGGGCTAGGGACTAGGATGGAACTTCTGGGTGAGAGAGGCATTCGGTCTGCCACAATTCTAAAATGTAAGGCTCTGTTTATAGGACATTACAGAAAAGCCAGAACAACAAAGCAGATCAGTGGTTGCCTGGGGCCCAGGTGGAGGTTGCAAAGGAGCTTTTTGGGGTGACCAAAATGTTCAATATTTTAATTTTGGTGGGAGTGACATGGCTGTACACATTTGTCAAAATGCCATAGAGTGAGAGAAACAAGGTAGGAGAAAACAAGAGCAACATATAAAAGTGGCAAGGGATGTGTATCTGAAATATAAAGGAGCTCATAAAGTTTTTTTTTAAAAGAGCACAAACAAGTCTACAATGTGAGAGCAAGCACATTGTCTACAAAGTGGCTGTCACTTCTGACACGGCTGCAGAGTTCAGGGCGCTGCCCAAACCACTCTCAGGTTCAATAATTCAGCGACCCGAAGGACCCGCAGAATTCCCCGCAAACAGGGAATTCTCAGGGTACAGATGGAAATCCGCCGAGGCAAGCACACAGGGGTGATGGAAATGTTCTGCAATCGGGTAGCGGTGATGATTCCTAACCGTGAATGTTCTAAAAACCACTGACTTGTATGATTTTTAAAAGGGCGGGTTTGAAGTTCCACGTGCGGAGCTTCCGTGGTCCTCTCCCCGAGGAGCCATGGACTCCACGTGTTACTTTCCCAGCACTGTCGTGTGACACTGCACGGGGTGTACTGCCAAGCAGGTGAGCTCACTGCGCTGACATCCAGCGTCTTTCCTGGGCCTGTGTCACGTAGCCACCATTGGCTGCTCACAGAGCTGACCTGTCTCCAGCTCCGTGGGGTGGAGCTAAATGAGCTGATACCATATGCCCCCACCCTAACCCACACCGTGAGATTCTGTGGTGCAGCCTGACCCCACCTGGAATCACAGTCTTAGACTAGCTGGTGTGGTCAGTCCTCACCCTAAGGAAAGACATTTCTATCAGGCATACCATTCCATGGCCTTAGCTACCACCGCCCAGAAAATGAGGGCAAAGGACAGGTCTCTCTTGGGGCGAATTTAAATTCTTTACTAAGCAAAGGCACATGGTTCAAAACTGAAATTCACAGAAAAGGAAGCATGCACGGTCAGTGAACTTAGGGAGAAACTCAGCCTTCCCAGCTAAGTGTTAGAAAATGGAAGTGGACATAATAAGACTTTTATTCCCTTAGTGGTGGTATCAGCTAATATGGTCTCTTGGAGCAGTTTGGCAATATCTATTTTTTTTAAAACATGGACTTCAGTCTAGTGGTTCGTAATGTGTGGGTCTTCAGAGATGTGTAAAGTTTCACATGTGTGCAAAGCTATAAATAAGAGAGCTTCCTGATTACTAGTTGTAATGAAGAGTTTCTGGAACACACTTAAGTGTCTACCAAATGGGGGAAGGGATAAAGAATTATGTAATAGCTACTCTATCAGATATGACCTGACATAATAGAAGAGTGAGGCTAATCTTCATGTGCTGTCATGGAGAAATTTCTGAGATAGAATTAATATTAAGTGAAAAAGTCAAGTTTCAATATATAGAGTATCATGGTAATCCCCTTGTTTGGTAAAAATTGTTAAAAATTACATACCAAACAAGTCTCTATATTTCCATCGTGTATCCTACGGTAGTGAAAAAGGAAAGATGTGTTAAGATTCTCCAGATGCTTCTCAGTGATTAACCAGAGGTTAGGGCACAGGTTTGGAGACATGTGTGTGTTGTGCAGTGAAATAAAATAACGAATTAATTGAGCAATTGAAAATGAAGAAACCACAACTAACCAGCCCCACAGCACCAAGCACAGGATCAGCTGGAAAAGCACAAAACCAATTTTTGCTGATGATAATCATCACCCTCCTCGAAGTTGCCTTCTGGAAACTCTTGGGTGAATCCCAGGAGAACTTTTCTGTGAATTTTTAAAAATTGTAAATCAAATGGTACAACTGCCTTCCTGTGGTCTGGTTTCTGAATAACCAAATCTACTCCATTGCTAAGGGTTTGAACCCTAGGTGGTCTGGGCCCCAGCTGCCTCTGGAACCTAATCTCTTCCTAGTCCCCTCAGCTCATAACCTTCTGTTCTTCCTTAAAGACCCCCAAGATTTTCTTACCTCAGGACCTTTGCACAGTTTTCTCTGCCTGGAATTCTCTTTTCCTGCCTGGTTCTTATTCACCCTTTAGATGTCTGCTTAAATATTTAGGCTTCCCCCGACCCTGCAATCTAAATGACACCCCCCCCTCAGTTACTATTCCTTTCCCGCAGCGTTCTGCTCTTTTCCTAGAGCCAAGTGATCACAGGCGTAATCATGTATCTATCAACCTGTGGGTTTGTACCGCTAGACTGTCTGTCTCTCCCATCAGACTCCCTGAGGGTAGGGTCTGGTCGGAGGGCTCACAGCTCTGTTCCCAGTACCTGGTACACCCCAGGCACACGTTAAATATCAGCCCAGTGAGCCTCCAGCATGCTGCACCCGCCCCAAAGCGGGGCAGGTCTGGCCCACAACAGGGGCTTGGCCAGACTGAGGAGTCTTTGCAGACGTGGGGGCTGCGCCTAGACATGTGCTCCACGTGGCCTGTGTGACAGTGCCTGCTCAGGCGCTGGGCTCGGGGACCAGCCCTGGGAATGCACAGGCCTTCCCCTCCTCTTCCCGGCTCTCTGTTCCGCCACCCCACCCCACCCCACCCCACCCCACTCCACCCCGAGAACCCAGGGTTCCCAGAGTGCCAGCCGGGACCCTGAGTGGGCAGCTCCCTAGCCTGGGGACAGGTCCCTTCCCACTTTTTCTGACTGGAGGGTGAACAAAGTTGGTTTAGAAGAAAATGTCAGGGTAGCAAACAATGCAGGGATTGAGTCTTGCTTGCTGCCATTTCAAAGGAATGAAAGTGGGATTAACCAAAAAACAAAATCCAAACCAAAACCAAAACAAAACCACTCTACTGTTTTAGGATCGGCCTCAGAAACAATCATCTTATTCTTTTCTGTGTCATAATAAAATTAATGATTTACCCAAGCGCTTTGTTCTGCATTTGGGCTTGAACAGCAAGCAGAGAGGCTGGTCTCTGGGTGAGGATTTTGCAGCGACTAAAATGCGCCCCTCCTTTCCTGAGCACCTACTGGGCGGTGGAGTTGGGTGTGTTGGGAGGAAGCCCTTGAACGTCCAGTTGAGAGGTTAAAAGATTAAATCAGCATCAACCAGTGATATTTTCAAATCAGATCTTGCCACTCTCCTGCTTGGAAAACAAAACAAAACATAACAAAACATTAACTCCCTCCACCACTCTGTAGAATGAATAATGACCACCAAAAGACATCAGACCCTGTCCCGGAAACTGCAACTGTTACTTCATAAAGAAAAAGGGTCTTTGCAGATCAAATTAAGGTTCTTGATGAGGGGAGATTATCCTGGATTATGCAGGCGGACCTTAGCCCACTCACAGGTGCCTGTATGAGATAGGCGGAGAGAGATTTGCTGCCGACAGACAGACGTGGAGGCGATGTGACCCCAGAGGCAGAGCCTGAGGCGAGGAGGTCACACGTCACTGAATGCCAACAGCCACCACGAGAAGCTACAGGAGGCAGGAACGGTTCTCCCATACAGGCTCCTGAGGAACAGCAGGCCCGCTGGCCTCGATTTTGGCTCAGGGACACAGATTTTGGACTTCGGCCTCTAGAACCGTGAGAGAATACATTTCTGTTCTTCTGAATGACCAAGTTCAGGATAATTTGTTCCAGGAGCCACAGGAAACTAATAGAATGATCTAGATAGCCGCTTGTGACCCGGTCCCTGTCCTCAGTCACAGCTCACCCTCACTGTGCCACCACCACAGGGCCCTTCTTTCACGCTGTCCCGCCTGCCTGGCCCAGCGTGGGGGCCTTTGCACTTACTCCTTCCCTCAGCTCCTCCCAAGGCGGGTCCCTGCATCTGAGCCGGGTCTCTGCATACACATCACCTTCTCTGAGGGGTCTTCTGCGACCACTCTGCCTGAACACTGCCTCCTGGTCATCTCTGTCACACCCAGCTTTTCCTTTAGTCATAGCACTTGGCACTCTCGGCAGTAACTTTTTTCTCCCCAGTTTACTACTTGGCTCCGCACAAGGAAATGGGGCCCAGGAAGGCCTTGCCCGGCCTGTTCCCTCCTAGTCAGTCGCCAGGGCCTGATAGCGCTCAGCCAACACTGGTTGATGACTACAGTCAGTGATCTGGGCAAGCCTCCGAGACTAGAGGGGTGTGTGCAGTGTGTGTTTCGGGGTGCGGGCGCAGCAGTGAAACCGGAACTCCAGCAGCATTTCCCACCTTCAGAGTGACACCTGCCCCCACTGCCGACCAGGGGCTTCCTTTGTTCTGCACAACAGCTCGCGAGGCAGGCCCTTTCATATCCCCACATTACAGCTGAGGACACGCAGGCTCGGAGACCGTCTAAGTTACTGCTCAGTGTGTTCATAGGTGAAAAGCACATCAGATGAGTCTCCTGTACCCACAGCTGACACAGAGCCTCCCCTGCAGGGTGCTCGGTCTGCCGGGATGCTGATCCCGCTTTAAGGAGAGAGCAAAGGGAGGCTCAGGGGCCGGCCAAGGGGCACTCAGTGCCCTAGAGACACCCGGGAGAGCCGGTCGCTGCCGGTTAGGAGGGCGCCGAGCTTTGGTATAAATCCCTAGCGGGCGGCCTTCCCCGGGACAGAAACGCGCAGCTCTCCAGGCAGGTTTTGGCGAGCCCTCTCACTGACGGCGGCCTCAGTTTTGTCGTCTGTAGAGTTGACAGACGAGACTTGAGTTGTCTCCAGGCTGGACCTACCGGGGGCAAGCAAAGGGTTAACGGGGCGGGTCCCGGGGCGAGGGCGGGGCTGGGGCTCCAGCTGCACCTGGCTGCTCCGGGATCCCTCCCTCAACGCCGCGCTTAGCGCCAGGAGCCGCGGCTGGAGCCGGGTCCCCCCGAAGGAGCGGCGCGGGAGCCGGTGCCCACCGCCGGAGGGGCGGCGACGGCTGCAGGAGCGACCTCGGGGAGGCGAGCGAAGCCGCGATGGCCGAGTTCCCGTCTAAAGTGAGCACGCGGACCAGCAGCCCCGCACAGGGCGCTGGGGTCTCGGTCTCGGCGCTGCGCCCCGACCTGGGCTTCGTGCGCTCCGTCCTCGGCGCGCTCATGCTGCTGCAACTGGTGAGCGCACGCGGGGCCCCGGGGAGTTTGGGGTTCCGGGGAGGCCCTCCTCAGCACCCCCTACGCCACCAACCCAGGATCACACGGGCCCCGGCACGCCGTTCCTACCTGTAGGACCGACTCCCCCGAGACCCCTCTCACCTCGAAAGTCCCCGTTGTCGTTCCTGCGAGCACTCACATCGTGCACCCCTGTTCAGAGCGCCCACTCCAACACCCCACCATGCCTCCAGGCGGTCACCAGAGGCCACCCACAGGGGCGCACATAGAAGCCACTATCATCGCGGAGGACTCTGTCTCTGTCCTTGCAAGGGCAAGGTCCCACCCCTCCAGAGGACTCATCCTAAATCGAAGTCCAGGCTCGGCTCACGCTCTCCGCGAGGGTGCACCCCAGAACACGCCTGGCCTAATCGAGAGGGCACACCGGTTCCAGCACAGGCACCTAGGCTCGGTACTGCGGGCCCCGGAGCGGGAGCCGGGCCCTTCTGGCTTCCACTGGGTGACCCGCCGGGTTCCAGCCGGTTCGGCCGGCCTAGCGGACCGAGATGCCGCGCCCCGCGCTGGGGGGAATGACTTGTGGGAAGCCAGGGGTAAGACTCCGGTGTCTTCCAGACCCTCGGACGACCTCAGCTGCTGGCGGACCCCTGGGAACACCCTTGTCCCCCTTCCCCCACACACTCGTTACGGGCCTGGGGGAGTCAAGTTCCCTCTCGTGCGAGTCAGGAAGCGGGTGGCTGCCCTTTTGGGAGGCTTTCCCTCAACCGGGGCCCGGGCCATTTTCAGAGGACCAGGGGGACGCGGAGGTGGGCGAGGATCCAGTTTCCTTTAGGGCCTCCCCCGCCGTGCCCCCACTGCTGGGTCCTAGCGAGGTTGCCAGGCTCAGCCTGGAAGGAGGGGACCCCTGAGAACAAATCTCCCTTTCGGCTCCCCTCTGCCTCCGGGGTCAGTGCTGTCTCTCTTTACGAATTTCTCAGTTCCCTCGTGAGCCGCGCCGCGGCCCGCCTCCCCGCCCCCCGCCCCCGCCCCCGGCCGCTCCTTCTGCACCCCAGTTTCAGATTCTCCTGAAGGAGTTTGTTTAAAAGGTAGAGTCTTGGTCCCCACCCCCGGAAAAAATGTTGAATAGGAATTTGAATCTCAGGAAGTGCAGCCCAGAAATCTACATTTCTAATTCTTCTCCAGGAGTGGTTTTGGGATGGGGGAGGGGTGGCGCAGGGCGGTGAGGTGCGCGGTCAGGGACTCCCTGGAACCTGGAGCGGGGCCCTGTGCTAGGCTCTGGATGGTAGTGAAGGCCGCCGCCAGGAGCAGGGAGGGAGCCGGGGCCCAGGGCTGCGCAAGGGCGGCGGAGAAGGAGGTCAGTTTTAAGGCCAGGCAGTGTCGTGGGTGAGAGGTGGCTCCGGAGCAGGACTTCACTGAAATCTGAGGCCCGGCTGGGAAAGGGTGTTGGAAGGCCAGTGTACCTGGCCTGCCCAGCCCCGTCGGTCAGTCGGTTAAACGCTTTTGCCTTAGGCCAGGGTTGCAGGTTCTATCCCTGGTCTGGGCACATAAGAGAATCAACCAACCAGTGCAAAAGTAAGTGGAACAACAAATCGATGTTTCCCTCTCTCTGTCTTTCTCCTCACCCCCCCACCTCTCCCTTTCTCTCTTTCTCTATAAGCAAGAAATAAAAATGTAAAAAGGAGTTATTAAAGGCAGCTGTGAGCCCAGGCTTGGGGACCCGAATGTAGAAAGGAGGTGGGGGCGGGTAGCCAACAGGTTGGTAAAACTGGAGTTGAAGCACTTGTTTCTTGGGTGGCCAGAGAGATGGTGACCATGTTGGCTGGCAGCCTTAGGAGGCCTGGGACCAGCAGAGGGGTCCCTGCTGGGCTGAGATGATGAGGCGGTGGGTGGATCCCTAAGGTTCGCTCCGTGTAGGCAGGACCTGAGCTTCCGCTCCCTTTGCATTTGGACAAGCGGAATTGGAGTAAGTGGAACTAGAGGGATTTGGAATAAGAGGAGCGTCCGGCTGTACCTACAAGGACCTTGGTAGCTTCCTCCAGAAGAGGCTGGGTCTCTGATTTGGGGGTCCCTGCGGGCTCAGCAGGCCAGTCCTGCCCTTTTGGGTCCCATCACACGGATGTGGACACTGAGGCCTGGATAGAGCACACTAGTCCGGACGTGGAGATTGGCACTTCCGTCTCCAGACTCCCAGGCACTGGCTGTGACCGAGGCGGTCTTCTGTCCTCCAAGGCAGGACTGGGGACGGGAGGATGAGGGTCTCCCATCAGAGTTCTGAAGACCTGCACCTTTTAGTGCCTTCACCAATCTGCTTCTGGGAGAAGCTGCTTCCTGAGCTGTTTCTCTGGCAACAGGCAGTTCCACTGGGTCTGGGGGGTGGGGGCGTTCACTCCCCAGGTACTACCATCTCCTGGGAACCCGCTAGGGCCCAGGCCCCTTGCCAAGGGCTTTATATATCTTCCCCTGTTCGGGGTGAGGAAACTGGGGCTCAGGGACCAGCTCTTTAGAGCCCTCCTCCATGGGGGAGCGACGGCCCTGAGCGGGTCTGACTTTCCTGGCTCTTCTGCCTCCCCTTTAAATTAGGGAGAGGTGGGGAGAGAGGGAGAGGGAGAGGGAGAGGGAGGGAAGTGGGGAGAAAGAGAGAGGTTTGTTGTTTCCCTTATGCATTGCATTGACTGAATGTACTGGGGATCAAACCCACAGCCTTGGCATATTGGGAGAATGCTCTCACCAACGGAGCTACCTGGCCAGGGCTCCGAAGCCTGTGTTCTTCATGACCACACTCAGCTGTGCTCTCACCAGGCCAGGGTCTGGGGCCAAAGGGAAGGCTGCAGAGAGGAGGTGGTCAGTGGGAAGGTGAGAGCTAAAGCTGTCAGACCCCTCTGTTTCCCAGGACTTGGAGAGGTGGTCTGGATGTGCTGAGAGCAGAGGGGTGGAGGCAGGTGATAGGCTCTTTGCCTGGTATTAAGTGTGTCCTAAGGAACCAACCTCAGTGTTTGCTGATTTATCACCGCTCCCTCCCATCCTCACCTAGTTCCAAAAAGAACATTAGATGGAATATGATTTTAAGCCACAGAAGACAAAAGAGTTTATTTTCTAAAGTTGGTGGTGTGTGTAAAGGGGTGGGAGCAAAGGTGATTGACTTGAAGAAAGCTAAAAAGAGTTCATTGTACCAGCAATTTGTTGTAAGTTTAAGACTGTTATTCTTTGTTGAGCTTCCTAGCAGGGTGGGCAAAAAAGGAAACACGATGAATTTATGCAGATAGCATCTTTAAAGGAGAAGCAGGCAAATATGATCTAGAGCTCTTTTCTTTTTTTAACTTAATCTTCAATGTATTTTTTTTTTCCATTACCATCAAGACAACTCTTAGGTTATAAAAACCTGGAGGTTTGATGCTACAGATCTTTTTTTGTGTGGCTAGGGGGTGTGGGAATGTTGTGGAGGGTGTGGTCAATTTGTGCTTATGGCTCATCTCAAAGCCTTTGTAGAGTAAGTATAAAATGGGCGTCAAGACCACATATTTATTTTTTAAATCCTTCTCAAGTCCTGGGGAGAAAGATAATGCAGCAACAGGTCCAGAGAGGGTGAGAAACATGCTCAAGGACTCAGGGTAGAGTGGCAGAGCTGGGGTTTGCACTCAGATCTGGGCATTCAAAGCCTGGCTTTAGCTATGCTTCCTGTTTTTATTGTTTTGTTTTGTTTGTTGTTGTTGCTGGGGGAAGGGGAAGGGGACGGACTTCAGGAAGGGAGAGCATCAGGAGCCAGGGCCACTCAGGAAGGCTTCCTGACAGCTGTGGACCCTGAAGAGCTTAATTATATGGAAGGAGCCGGTACTAAGGAAGGTCAGAACCGACCATAGCTTATGCAAGAGCATCCTTGAGACCCAGGATGTAGAAGCCATAGGAATGCCAGTAGAGCCATTGTGTTTGGCACCTTCTAGTCTTCCTCTTGTCCTGCCTCCTGGGACTGGGGGTAGCCACACAATTCCCAGTTTGCAGGTGAGTAAACGGATCAGAGGCCTCACCTGCATCCGATCACGGTGATCCAGCGTGGTGATGGTGAGAGTATTGGTGGGAGCATAGGCCTGGAAGCAGAGAGCCTTGGGTTCAAATCCTGGCTCTGCCCCTTCCCAGCTGTGTGATCTTGGGTAAGTTCCCTAATTTCTCTGAGCCGGTTTCCTTATCTGTAAAACAGTGGCTGTGGGAGTATGAGGACTGTGGAAGATAGTGCCTATGAAGGGCTTAGCGTGGAATACGTTGGAATGGAGGGCACTTAGGATCTGCAGTGTCATAGAATCCTAGAGCTCTTATGCTTGCTACCAGAGATCCCTTGGTGCATGCTCATGAGCTTGCATGCTCCCCGGGACAGGGAGCTCAGTCCCTCGCAAGGCATCCTGCTCCATCCTGGTGCACTTGGGAGTGTTAGGAAGCTCTTCCTCCTGGCGATCCTGGCTCTGCCTTCCTCCCCGGCAGGCCAGCCAGCTCCTCTCCAGGGAGGAGGGCAGAGCCTGAAGGTGAGCTCTGACCTTCAGGAAGAGGCTGCCTAGGCGAGGCCTGAGAGGTGTGAGCAGAGGCCGGCTGCGTTGGGACTGCAGTGCTGGGGTCTCCCAGGGCTTTCCTGCCCTCTGAGACTTGTGGGCTCCTTGGCCTCAGTGCAGGATTCCGGACCCTGCATTCTCAGGCCAGCGTCCTCCAACGCGGAGTAAACCAGGGCTTTGTGTTGTTAGCCCCGCCCACCTCCCTGCTTGTGGCGGGGAGGGTGTTGACTGCTTGGAATTCATGTTTAGTTATGTAATAAATATATGAACACATTCTCTTTAAAAAAATAAAAAGCTATTACAGATGAGGCTGAAGTTATTCTTGGATCACCTACCCCTCTCCCCAAGGGGACCACCATTGTGGGGTGTTTGCTGTTTTTTATCCCGTGCATTTAAAAAAAAGAAACTTTGATGATTTTATTCTGTATTCTTTGTTCATCAGGAAGTTGCTTTTCTCACCCCCAATGCACC